ATTTCTAATCCCCAACTTATTCACGACAAAATGACAAAATTAAAGTTAGATCTTCCTTTAATTAAGAGCAGCACAAAACATACTTTGATTGGTAATTAGTTCGTGTTTTTATACGATAATTTGAGCTCTAAAGACAACCGAGTGCCTCGACAAGTCTACATCCCTCGGCTCGGTGTTTTCCAATTTCTTTTTCAAGAGCTGATTTACAAGAAAGGTTAGCTTGATTTTCAATGGCCTCTCCTACTTTTTCCTCCTGCTTTTTGACTGAAAACGACCACACTTTGACCGAAAAGGTGCCATTCAACGAAACATTTGATAAACATTAGCCGGGAACATTAGTTACCAGACYACTTGGCCGAACAAGTGACATGCGCGCGTGCGATGCGCAGTGGCAAAGGTCCGGTACTACCTTAAGGAGGCTCGGAATGGTTTTTTGACCGCGCGCGGAATGGTGACGAAAATGCTTGACGATTGTCAAAACAAAATGGCAGACCTCGAGAGTCGATGGAAATTGACTTCAAAATTGTATAAAGAAAAGAAATAATGATGAAAAAGTTATTCATTTTACTTAWAAAAGAGTTTTTCATTTCATTTTTATCTGCTATGGGGACAAAACATACGCAAAAAGCGTAATCTTTAGCAGTTTTCAACAATCTGAATACGATCGATCGCGAACTACAAAAATTCAACACAATGTAAGCATATTTCTCATGTAATTTATTATCTTCACTGTCATTTTAAGAAATTATATTAAATATACACATCTTTTCACTATATATTCACCACCTAAACCCCAAAATGTATTTGTTGTATCCATAAAATTAAGATTTTACGATGGTTTAGTGTGTAGCATGCCGGCAGTTGGGCTACCTGTGGATTCACAAGTTTTTACAACACCCCTCTGACGCGTACACACTACAACTTCCTAAATAACTCACCAATGAAACGGTGGTTTTCCCCAATTTTTTGTCAGTATATTCTAATGAAAGTAAAGATTAAATAGCCCGATTTAAAAAAAATTCTGTTATGAAAACTTTTTTTTATCTCGAAAAAACTGCATTCTGTGAAACTTTAAGGGTTTCGCATTACAGAATTTTTTCTTTTTTTGTCAGTGACAAGATCAAGTAAGTAGATTTCCATATATAACATTATAGACGTTTTTACCGCGGCGATATAGAGATATCGAGTAATATAAAAAAAGGTTCCTTTTTACAAGGGTCTGACGTTGTCATGGCAACATCAAGAGTGGTGATTTAAAAAAAATATGTATCACTCTAAAACTTTAAAATGATATATGGATTTTTTTTATTTATTTATTTAAAGGAATAATAATCTTTATTTCAGTAAAATATGTACAAAAGTATATATTACATGCAAATACTAGAGTTTGTGTAAAATATATTACATCTACTAAGGAGGGAAACAATAAAAATATTAAAGAAGACTATTAGCGACACAGTATATAAAAATTATCTATATATAAAAATCTATATTTATAAAGTAAAAAAGAAAAAG